AAAAACACGACTGGTTACTTGCATGTATTAGTGATGTCATGATTTTATTACTTTGAGAAATGCATCATTCCACTTAATATTGTTGCCTCAGGAGGCTTTAGTGTGTGTGTGTGTGTGTGTGTGTGTGTGTGTGTGTGTGTGTTTCGCATTCCCAGGGTTGGTGGTAGTTAACTATGTGGTAACACATTATTATAGTCTTAAATTCTTAAACCAACTGCTTACAGCATGGAATTTAAATGTAAAGCAACTATTCATGGTGACATCCTATAGAAATAAATCTGTTTTGATGAGCTCACAATAGTTTGGGAAAGGACATTGTCCTATCCATTCTTCAAGTTACACATCTTATTTAAAAAAATAGTTGTTCATTTACTTATGAAGAACCTTAAATGTTATTTAAAATACAGGATTTAGTCTCATAGTTACAAAAAACAGAGGTATAAAGGTGGAAAAACTTTCCAGAATCACAACTTAACTAGTTTAAAACTTGAAACTAATATAATATTGAATAGCAACTGTAATTGAAAAATTTAAAAAAAAAATTTAGTAAGTAGCAATTAAGATATATAATTATCTGTAATAGACATGAAGGCATAAATTCAAAGACTTTTATTCCTAACTCTGACACTACCTACCTGGGTGGCCTTAGGTAGATCAAAAACATTTCTGTGAATTAGTTCCCATTTCTGTAAAAAAAAAAAAAAAGTTGCAGTGGTTGTTAGACCATTCAGGGAACAATTGGGAGAAGAATGTGAACAAAAAAGAATGCTCCTCATACTCAGCCAGTCAGAGGGAGACAGAACTGGGCCCTGCAGCATCTTTAAGAGTAGGCTTCTCCAATTGTGCCAGGTAAATGACCCTTTGGGGTGTATCTTTTTTTACATGGATCTTGAGCTCCTGGATTTTAAGCTCTCAACCTAATTCTAGAAACCAAATTATGGAACTAGAATACTCCAGATCAAAATTACTGGTACCTTTTACAGTTGCAGAAAAAAAGAATTAAATACCTTTAGCTAGTCCCTGTTCTATTGAACTGTGGTCTTTAGAGCTTTCAGCTGAAAGCTAATTATTGATTTGATACACACTGTATTTTTAAATATATTTTATTTATTTTAGAGAGGAGGGGAGGAAGAGAGAGAGAGAGAGAGAGAGAGAGAGAGAGAGATCAATGATGAGAGAGAATCATTGATCAGCTGCC